TCATTTTAACCAACTTGTTTTGTTGAAACTAGGTTTCAGAATTAGTAAAATACATTAAGATATCCGGAATATTTTTTTGCCCAAGTTATATATATCCTCCATTGTACACACACTGTGGTTCTTCAAAACCTCAATTTCAAACAAGCTATTAGGAAATACCAGCATAAGCACTGATGGCAACTAAAGCTTGCATCTGTCTCCCAAGTCGGTGTTACAAAATGTCCTTAACTACAGAAACTGGACCACTGCACAGTGCCATGCTCTAAAAAAAAAAGTGACAGAAACATCTCAAGATGGACAAAGCACAGCTCACAATTGGGTCTTTAGAAGGTGCCTCACTGAATCACTCACCGAAGCCATCTGCTGCTGGCACTTCACAATAGCATCCCATTTGGAAGGTACGTTCAAGTGCTGCATCAAACACTCCTGTAATGTGCAGACACGGTGCGGAAGGAAGCCACCTGTGGCCACTGAGAACTGCAGAGCATCAGCAACCTGTGATGGAAGGGATGAAGATGCCATGACCAGCATCTGTTAACCCAAGGCAGAGGATGTCTCTCTTTTCACTCTCAGTGGCCAAACACCGATGAAGAGGAACCTCAGGAAAGACCTTCTCAAGCAATCGGTTACTTTTACTCAAAGTCAAAAAAAGACGATGTTAAAATCCATCAAAGTATGTTTTTTCTTCTAGATCATTGGAGATTTTCTAGTAAAAAAATCTCTCCTTTTTTGGAAAGCGTTTACAAGACATATATTTAAACAGAATGAAAGCATTTTTGTGATCAATATTCATAAGAAGTCTAATTTGAATGAACAAGGTTATAGAATAAACTTGCCCACAATCTGTTTTAGCTTTGACTGTGAAAAATCTTTGTCCAAAGTCTTTGCATGCTCATGGCTTGGATTCAAGGGCAGAAAAACTACAACCTGCTAAAGAGTAGAGTAAGTGCATTGATCTATGGAACCAGACAGCAACAGTGACTTCTTCACTTGTACATTTTATGATTACACCTTGCATGGACCTTTGCCTTATGGAAAGTCTCAAGCTGTTGTATTTTCTTTATTCTTTCAGCACACATTATTTCTTTTTGTAGTATACAGGTATGCAACCAACAACATTTTACAATAGCAGGGATTTCAGAGCATGAGACTGCTCTAGCCTCATGATGCAGCGTAGAAGTGTCCCAGAAGGCAACGTTAGGGATGGAAGCACTGACAACAGCCAGTTGCCTGCCCACTATGCAGTTTTTTTGGCTGCTACATCCCAACAGGGGTACACACACCCCCCAAGGCAGTCAAATGTGAAATAGGAGTATCAGACTTGAACAAATATTATTGTTAAAAGTTACCTGTGATGCTTAAGTACATACTATAAGAACATAAATAGGGAAGGCAATGAACATCAGAAACCTTTCACTGCCATCCTCTACATGTTGTGTTAATTAGCTTACTTATTGCAAAGAATAAATAGTTACAGCAATTGGCCAAAACCAGGGATAAATAACACTTCTCAAATTATGCAGGCAGGATCCCATGTAAATGAGAGTTCTTCATACTATTGTTGTGTTTTTTTAAGCAGAGTCTCACTTGTGCACACAGCCTGTGCCAATTTTAACAACACTGAGAAGCTGCGTCCAAGAAGTGCTTCAGAAAAAGTATCAATGACTTTGCTCAGAGCTATCTCCCAGTTATTTGCTCTGGAGGTACAGAGTAGAAGACAAGACAGCTTAATGCTGCAATATCAGGTATGCTGAAGGGCAGACAAAACCAGACTACTTCACTAGCTCACTTACATTAGAAGTGGGATTCAGGCCAACGAATCAGAGTAATTGAATCTAAGCCCAGATATCTATCAGTGCAAGAAAAGCACTCATGTCAGCTCACACCGAGACACCAAAACAATGAGTGCAGGTCTGCGTACCTCAGTCACTAGGGTGGATAGTTCTGGTCAGTTATTTCTACTGTATAAGTAACATGTTCCAGCCAGTACAGTCAGGAGCACTGGTGGGAATTTTCTCCCTGACCTTTATTATGCAGTCAAGACTTAACACTGACTGATAGTTTGATATTTGACCTGTAATGGAATAACCTAATTTTTAGAGGCAGAAGACCCTAAGATCAGAGAGGGACTGAGAGAAAACTCTGCTGTATAAAGTTTACTACATAGCCCAGATTAGGGCTTTGATGAGCTACTACAGGCAATCTAGGACATGAAAAGTCAGTATATAGACAAGGATGAGTCATACATAACTATGCATAACATATCCATGCCCACTATGAAAGATGATAGCCATTGTGTTATTTCCTTCTCTCTTGAAAGGTTTTAATTCTGCTGTTAGTCATGCAACATCAACTACCACAACTACCAAGGCCAGCATCACCAAAAAAAAGAAAGATTTTTGGCCTGTTCTCTCACTTCCACCACTGGTTTTATTAGCAGGTGCTTCCCAGTGCTGGATACCTGTACTCTGAATCTGTTTCTACATTTGTGAAAAGGGCAGAAAGAGTAATAAAGCATAGAAAGCACAAGCTGAGCAGGCTCCTGTTTAAGTCACAGTAGCCCCAAGTTGTGCCTAGTTTGATCAAGACCAGTTAATACATCTTAAAAGAAATCCCAAAACATCAAACTTGCTGTGAATATTAGATATTAACTACCTTTTAAAATGGGTCTACACAAGACTTTAAATAACACTATCAGCCTTGCCTGCTGGTTCTTTTTAGCTAGAACAAAACCACTACATTTACATGGTTCAACAACTGTCACATTCTAGTAATGTTAAACCTTCTCTGAGAGAATGCCCTGAGCAAGGCCGAAGTTTTTCTTGTTGAAACCTTTGTTCACAACCAGAATATCTGAAGGGTACCTGTGTGTCAAAGACATTGAAGAGAATGACACCATACTGGTGAAAGAGGCAGTCTGAGATCCAGCGGCAGTCATGCATGACCTGAAGCAAGAAAGAGCTGTCAGACAAACTGCGTCCAACTGCAACTTCTTTGGTGCAGCTAGATCATTACATATACACGTGACCCTCTGCCACCACAAAAGTCCTCACCCACTCTGTACCCCTACCTTCAGGATGTTTTTATCTTCCAGCACCATTTGTAATCCATTTTTGAAAGCCCGAGGTCCCAGAAGGAAAATATCAAATAGAAAAATACGGCTCTTTGTTGCTATCTACAGGAAATTGCAGAGATAATGAGTGAGAGACAGAACAACAAACATTTTGAAAGTAGGAGAGACTGCACTGTTACTCACAAGCCACATTCTCCTATGTACAGGCTTGTGTTGGGGAGAGCAGGTTTAGTTTCTGTAATGCTGGTTCATAAACAAGTCTCGATTTCTCCAGTGATGCTCAGATTCTCACAGTAATTAGAAAGAACAACCCAGTAGTCTACTATACACAGTTAAATACAGCATTTTGAGACATATCAAGAGCAAACCCTATGCAAAATACTTAAAATAGATTCCTACACCTATTATGGAGACGTTTTTAAAGAACCACTTCCAACAAAACTCTTGTGCCCACAACATTCCTTTCATTGTCAAAGACCACTACCAAAGAAATAAAGGATATAGTTTTCCATCATAGCATTTCAAACAGGATGTAAAATGTAGGTTTTGCCTATGTTCAAATTCATACTGGTTTAACAAAAGCTGTTATTTGAAAGCAATTTAGCCATACCAAAACATACATTTTGTGGACACTTACTTTTGCATAAACGAGTTAAGTTTGAAGCATGAACTCCCACACAAGTTTTTGCTTTGGATAAACCATGCTCACTTTTAAACCTATTTAAAAATAAACTAAGATGATTTTGAGCTAACTTTTAGCTATTTTCCTTTCCGTCCCTTTGTTTTCAGATGTTGATAATATCACAGCTAATCAATATACTGTATCATCTTTAGATGATCCACCTTTAGATGGATTTTACATCTTCAATTATATTGGCATTGTGATCAGGTCTTGCAGTTTTTCAATAGGTAGCAGCTGTACTAGTGTAATACCTCTACCTGTATGCAAGTATATATAGAGATGGCAAACAAAATATGTTACACTGTTACAGACAAATGTATATATTACATACAAGTTAAGCAATTATTATATTGCCTTATAACAGGATCATTCTTTCCGTAACAAGTCTTTTATGATCTATCTTGAAGAAACATCATATCCCTTACCAAAACACAGGCTAATCCTCAAATGTTTCTCAGTTATGCCTGTCACAGAATCACAAAATGGCAGGGGTTGGAAGGGACCTTTGAAGATCATCCAGTCCACCCCTCCTGCTAGAGCAGGATCACCAGGATCACTGTTCAGTGGCACATTTTGGGAAATATCTGGCTCTTACCTCAAGCCATGAGAGTCTTCCATGACGACACAAATTAACACCTTCTCCTGCTATACTGACAACACATTGCTGTTTTAGGTGCAGCACCTAATGAAAAACATAGGGTAAAATAAATAGTGCCAGAGAACGACAGGCAGAGGGACAAATAGTAAACTGTGACTTTTCTGGTCATGATACATATTTGGAAAGGTAAATACAGATCAAAACCACAACGAATCTCAGATATATAGTGATCCAAAAGAAACAGACACAGTATCAACCCAGTTACAGATAGACAGCTGGAAATTCCACAGCTAGAAACAGCAATGCTAGATTTAGCTAAATCTTATGGCTAACTAAAGAATACAGACTCCCCTGATCTTCTCCCAAGATATTATCTTAAGTAGGTTTTAGGAAGTTCCTTAAGATCACATAAATAAGGTGCTCCTTTCTGATAAAAAGGAGAACTAGTTTTCTAAGGTATAAAAAAAAAAACCTGTTACTCTCACAGACATGAAAAGTTTTCAGATAATTAAGATAAAGCAACCTGTAGTGCACACGTAACACAAGAGTAGAAGGCATAAACAGAAATAAAAAGGCCAGTTTTTTCAAGCAACAGTTAGATTTCCTCTGTAAGCAGGGAAATCTCTTCCTGTGGGGAAGAGCTTTTTCCTCTGTATGTGCCATAGATTTACCATAACGAGCCCTAATACCAACTGATGTTACTGTAAGACAAAATGGCATGGAGGACTGACTGTCCTGGTTTGAGCTAAACAGAACTAATTTTCTATTTAGTGATTTTACTTTTCAGCTCAGTCTCTTTCAAGTGGCTGAACTTGCTGAAACTAGCAGCATGTCTTTCCAGACAGTGTGTGCTGCTAGAGGTGATAATCACAAGGCCACTGTCTCACCATGGGTGCCGTGTCTGTGCCTATAGTGGGAGAGCAGACCCAAAACTGACCAAGGAGATATTCCATCCCACATACGTCATACAAAGTATAATGCCGAGGGATCACAAGGCTCTTGACCCTTCCATCTTGGATCCTTCCATCCATCTTGACCTTTTCTTTCCTGCTCTGATCCTGCAATGGCTGAAGTCTGAGCAGAACCCTGCTGGTTCGTCTGCCTCTGATCCTGATTCGTGTGTTCCTGCATCAGCTCCCACTGCTGCTGAGTCTGGACTGAGACTTTTTCAGTGCCCTGCTCTGCAGAGCCTCTGATGACATAATCGTCATTGGGGAAAGGTGGGAGGGGGAGGACTTTATATTGGTTCTGTATATATATTTGTACATATCTGTATATATTTCATTATTTTCCTATTTACATTATTACTATCCTGTAGTATTAGCATTATTGTTCTATTAAATCTGTTAGTTTTATTTTCCAACCCATAAAGTTTCTCTCCCTTATTCTCTTTTCTCTTCCCTTCTGGGGAGGGGAGAGAGGTTAACAGAGAGCGTCTGTCCAGGATTTAGTGACCGGCCCAGCTGTAGACAGTGACAAGGACCTATAGTACTGCTGGTGTAATTCGGGTCTAAAAAATGCTATTAAACTTAATAAATCTATCATTGGCTCAAGAGTTCTGAAGCTGAGCCTTTCTACCAAGTCCACTTATGTTACTACACATGATTTAAAAGGTCCAGGCATGTCTGGTGTTCCAAACACCTACAACAACAGCACAGTCAATTCCCTCTCCAAATCCCAACAAATCCTCATGTTGTTCCCTTCCTAAACAAATAATGGTTCACTGGTGATTCTGACCCTTCACCACAGTTACTGGTGACACAGTCTAAAACCAGCAACCAACACACACTGATGCAGTCTTATCTGCCCACTGCAAACTCACGCGCACTGCACTCATTCCCTGCACGTACGCAAACTTTAAATACACTTGGATGCCATGAGAGATACCATTTCTATTTGACTGAAAGGAGCCGGTTACTACCTATTACTCATATTTCACTACAGTCTGCAAAAGTGATTTCCAGTGTAAGACGTGATGAAGCAGCGCTCCCAGTCCTGCCACCTAACCCACTCATCTACTGACAATGGGAACAGAACAAGCTTAGAAGTCATCTATGCTGCATAGGAGCTTTCATCAGTACTTACTGCTGGGCCAAATTTCTGCTGCAAAGAATCAATAACTGTGTACTCCACATTGTCTTCTTCCTTCTTCTCTAAAAGGAAAAGAAGAAAAAAAATCATTAGATGCTTCCTCTACTTGAATAAACTTTGCAAAGGTTTGTATTTCAGTTGTATAATCACCCTACTTTACTGGTTTAGCTGTTCAGATCTTCCCTCTCTACTCCTTGAACACACACAAGCAGATTACTGAACTTTCTGCTTCAGATGGGTACAGTCTGGAGTGTCAGCCAAAATTCTGGTTCTGACAGAAAGACTGGCTGTTTAAAAGTAAGCTGCAGCATTACTACTTCTTGTTATGATGCAGAAAGGAATCAAAAAGGTTTTGGTTTTTAAAATTACATCCGTTACAAAAAAGCACTCTAATTTCCAAGCTTGTCCAGGGAAGGAAAAAGACAAAAACTAACAGTCACACCACAGAACATGGACAGCTAAGTGATCAAGGAGGCAAAGAGAATTTAAGCCAGATTTAAATATTTTTAGTGCCTGCTTAACAATGTCTAATGAACAAGTAAAGAAGGGTTCTCTTAAAGATTCTCCCTGCTCTTTAGGTAAGATACAAATGTTAATAATATGCATCCATGACAACACCAGGACAATCTTCTGGACTGTAAAACAGTCAATTGGAAGGTCATAAGAACGAATTTTTAAAGGCTCTGCCAGACCACATCAACCTTTGCTCTTTTCCTCCCTCACTACCCAGATAAATGCAGCAAACCTTCCTCTAGCCTACGCAGGTCCTACTCTTGTCATGGCTCTACAAGAACACAATGAGCTCATCACATTTTGGGTCTGTACCTCTGTATACAGCAGGAACTACACAACCAAATCAGTGCAAGCACGTGACAGCCAGCAGAGAACCAAAGAGCAACAGTCTTATTGAGCTTCGAGTTATCTATCACACCACACACATTTCAGGAACAAGTATAAGATTAAAACAATCACCAGAGAGGAATGCTCACTGGCTGAAGCACTTTGATTTCTCAATACAACATATCAGTTGTATTGCTCAGCCACTTTTACAGTTGATGAAAGCTACAGGATAAACATTCTGGAAAGCAGGTAAGTTTCCTTCTGATGTTGTGAACGTATCTGCAGGCAACAAGCAGGTCTCTGTACCTATCTTTCTGTGACCACTGCAGAATACATCCTGTTCTGATACAGGCAAACCAAGAGACTGCAGCCTCTGGGAAAGATGTTGTCCGACAGAGACAAACTAACTGCACTGCTTGATTACTCTCCTCATTACCTGAAAGGAAGTATTTTAAGCTATTTGAGGCTCTGAGCTGGCTCTCAAAGGAAACGCAAGGAGAGCTACATGGGCGACAATCTGCTGGTCCTGTGTCTGCTCGTTTGCTCCCTTTAACAGCTGAAGTCCACCTGCAAGAGTAAGGCAATCACATATAGCACAGAATTCAAAGCATCAAACATTCCACTAGCATGGACATTTTAATAAAGGAAATTATTTCATCCAATGTCATCTACCTGTGTCCAGACAATGAACTGCTGCATGTGAAGCAACTTCCTAATCCAGTATGCATGGTTCTTAAAGAAGACCTCAAAGCTACCCAATCATAAGCTTATTTTGCACAAAAGAAGCTTTATTTCAGATAAAATTTCACATTTATTCTGAATGTAAGAGGTGAAAGCAGAACCTGAACAGATGTTCACTGCAAAGGTCAGCAATGGTTTCAAGGGAAGAAAGAATTCAAAGTACAAAGAATAAAGTACCTGACCTGAGCCCAAGAACCACACAATTTAAATATCTGTATGTCTTTACACTGAATCAATAACATTTGATCCATTATTTAATTACTGTAATTGGTGGGCAGTTTTACAAGTTCATCAATAGGTAAAATGGTTGTATCCACTTTACTGTAATCAGATGGAAGTTATTAGATCATATAAAATGGTAGCATGTCACAACCGAAAAAAAAAGAGTAAGTAAACATTCACCTGACTGAAAGATGTCACATATGAGATGCTTCATTTCTATGGCAGGACAGTCTGAGGTCAAGAATACTTCACTGGGAAATACAACTTAGTATAAATTTCCTTATATTGATATAAAAGCATCCCACTGCGATTACAGAGCTCCAATCATGTACATCTGTATCTCAATATAATAAACCATAATCAGCCTTTAGGTGCAGCTGAAGAACCTTGTATCTGAAATTGTATCTTTGAAGGATTAACACAGGAATCTGCTACCAAAGTGAGCACATTCAAGTGTGTGTGCACATAGGCTTACTTAACAGGGAGAAAGAAGACAAGACAGTAGCAAACAAGAAGACTGCTGCTAATCACAATTCTGTGTGCTTCTCAACTATATTTTAAGGACTATTCAGTAGACATCACTTCATTCCTACTTTATTTAAGAGGAAGAAGAAACAATTCAAATGTAGTCATGTGAGAAGACCCTAAGCAAAGCCATCTAGGAGCAGGGGTCTGCAGGAGTTTGAAACATATTTTTACCAGCTTCCCAAACTCACATTTACACGTTTTGAGAGCTTGGAAGAACCTTTTACACAGTGCAGGTCTTCCACTGACCACCTCGTTCACCTCTTTAGAGCAGAGAAATTCAGACTCGGCACAGCTGAGTCTGGACATCAGTATTATACTAAATGTAAGTGGTGACACCCTTAGCAAGTGCATTCCCAGCCCTTCTCCAACTGTGAAAGGAAGGAAACATATCAACGTACTTGGAGAGCATTGCTGTTTCCTTCCCTGAATCTGGTTCATCCAGCAATTCCACTGCAACAGAAATCAACAATTTAGTGCTGACAAGCAGCTTTTTAACATTTGTCATCTCCCAAAAAGAGAATCATAATCGATACTGACCACAACAGGACACGGCCATACATGCGAAAACCAAAAACAACAGCAAAAAAAAAAACAACCAAAAGAACCCAACAAACCCACCAAAAACACCCAAAAAACCAAACCAAAACGAGAAGACACCCCCCAAAACCCCTGAACTTAAAGTATATCTTAAAGGAATTTAAATTCATCCTGATGTCTATATAAAATAACTCACACCAGTAGCCTAGGTGAGGTGCATTTCAGAATTCTAGCATTTAAGCAAGACTAATGACCTGTCATCTCACCAAAAACAAAGGCAGTATTGAACTGGTTACTTCACAAACTATTACACAAACAAAGCAAGCACAAGGGAAAAGGCAGAACAGGTTCAACTAATCACTTGATAAAATAGCTGCCTTCTAGCTATTTCCCCCTCAGCACTTTACTCTTTGTCCCCAGAACAAATGTCAACAGAAAGGCACAAGTCCTTTATACACTAGAAATGTTTTTCTTCAATAATTCCATATTCTTATCACTAGTGATTCACAGAAAGAGGCTCAGATAAAGAGACCGTTTAATAGAAACGCTTTTGTCCATGCAAGAAAAAGCAAAACAAAGTTAACCAGAACTTTAAGCAATTTAATTTCCCAGCAGAGTCCCTTAGTGAAACACATATGTGAGCATACACAATAAACACAAATTGCCTTCGGGATGTAAACGGGGCACATTTCTCTCAACTGATTACCTTTGGAATGTGTACTTTTATTAGTGGTCTTACCAGACTTTATTTATTATTTAAATAGTAAGTTTTAAAGCAGGACAAACACAAGACTTTCACCAAGTGGGAAAGTATTATTTCACCAACCGATAATTGGGGAATTAAAGTTATGTGAGATATACAAGGTTCTAATTCCTAATGATTTTAGATGTTCAACTGGAAAATGCAACAGAGGGAACAAAAATTAGGTTAAAATGCTGAACTAAGAGTGGACGTGATTGCCATGCCCCAAAACAGGGTAAAAAAGGCCTCACCATTGACTATTTCATGGCTAAAGAACATCTTTACTCCTGGAGTGCTTCTGCCAGTTTCCAAGTTCCTCACTAAAATGAGGGAGAGGAAAAAAAATAGACAAAACATCAAGTTACACTGTTTGCGGTCAAAGCAAACACATTTACTGAACAAAGCAAGACCAATGGACCGGGCAGTACCGTTAACTGAGGCAGGGATATCAACAAACAGGTTATTTTAAGTGCCAGCTCTTTCACTCTACAGAAGAGGGCTTCTACAACATAACTGCGACTAGGACACAACTCAGGTCTGCCGCACCTACACAGTCTCACAGCTGAGAGCACAGGCGGGTGCTACTAACTCCTACCTGTTTTATTCACCCTCAGTGAAGCTCCCGGGAAGCATCCACGGGCGCTCCGTCAGGCACACTCGGCCCGGGAGGCTGCCTAGGCTGCTTGTGACAGCACCCACAACCCTCCCTTCCCTCAGCGTCCCGGCTTTGGGCTCGCCCGCTCCCTTCGCTCTGCCCCTCGGCATACACCGAGGCGGCGCAGGGCGCTCCGAGGGCCGGCAAGGGGGGAGGGTATGGCGGCCCACCCCCGACCTGTCCGCAGGAGAAGGCTCCGATCGGGGTTCACATGCTGCAGCACCCCCTGGAAGACGCCGCATTTCAGGGTGACTTTAACAGTTCTACCCAGGAAAGCACCCAAGCGCTCACTGCTGGAGGCCATTCAGCAGCCGAAAGCAACACCACCACCTGCAGCACCGAGCACCACCACACCTCATGGCGCGACGCCGAGGCCCCGCCCAGGCCCCGGGGACGGGACCATCGTAGCCCACACCCAATCACGGCCGGGAAAGCTCACCGAGGGGGCGTGGCCAGCGGAGGGCAGCGACGGCCGTCCCGCGCGCCGCC